AAAATTAACTAAGGAAAAGAAAGAGAAGATGCAAAAAGCATAAATAAGAAATGAAATGAGTACCATTACAAAAGAGCCATCCAAAATAAAAAGGATGATAACAGAATATTATGAAGAACTGTATACCACTTGTCTGTCAGTTTGTCATAACATGGTGGCCTGCACGTTGCTGTGATGCTGGAATCTAGGCCATCGATATGTCAAATAGCAGCAGAGTCACCCATGGTGGACAAGTTGCAGTGGAGCTTCCAGACTAAGACAGACTACCAAAAAGGATGGGGTCATCCACTTGTAAAAATTGCCACTGAAAACCATACAAATAGAAATGAAGAATTAATTGACATAGTGCTAGAAGATGAGCTCCTGAGGCTGGAGAGCACTCAAAATACCACTAGGGAAGAGCGACTCCTCAAAGTAGAGTCAATATTGATGATGTGGATGGAATAAAACTTTTAGAGCCTTCATTTACTGATGTGTCATGACTCAAAATGAGAAGAAGCAACTGCAAACATTCTTTTATGACTGGAACATGAAATGTATGAAGTATGAATCTAGGAAAATGGGAAGTTGTCAAAACAGAAATGGAAAAGCTCTATATTGGTATCCTACACATTTGTGCCACCACTCACTTCTCAGTTTGTAGTACTGTAGTGGAACTCCATTTCCTGATGGGGCACAACTCAAAATGCGAAGAAACAGCTGCAAACATCCATTAATAATTGGAATGTGGAATGTATGAAGTATGAATCTAGGAAAATTGGAAGTTGTCAAAAATGAAATGGAACACATAAAGATCAATATCCTAGGCATTAGTGAGCTGAAATGAATGGGCTATGGCCATTTTGAATTACACAATCATATGATCTATTATTAGTGGCTAAGACACTTGCCTGCTAACCAGACGGCTGGCGGTTCAAACCCACCAGCCACTCCTCGGAAGGAAGGTTGGGCAATCCTACTTCTGTAGTGATACTGCCTCAGAAACCCAAGGAGGGGTCGCTATGAGTCGGGGCCGACTCGACGGCACATAACAACAACAACAACAACAACAATGATCTATTATGCTGGGAATGAAAAACTAAAGAGGAATGATGTGGCATTCATCACCACAAAGAATGTTTTAAGATCTATCCTGAAGTACAATACTGTCAGTGATAGAAAATATCCATACATCTACAAGGAAGACCAATTAATACTACTGTTATTCAAATTTACACAACAACCACTAAAGTCAAAGAAAAGGAAAATGAAGATTTTTTACCAACTTCTGCAGTCTGAAATTGACCAAAAATGCAATCAAGATCTAATGATTAGTACTGGTGATTAGAATGTGAAAGTTGGAAAAAAAGAAGCAAGACTGGTAGTTCGAAAATAAGGCCTTCATGATATAAATTAAACCAGAGACTGCATGATAAGATTTTGCAAGACCAATGACTTATTCATTTCAATTGCCTTTTTTCAACAACATTAAAGGCAGCTATACACATAGACTTCACTAGATGGAATAAATAGGAATCATATTGATTATGTCTCTGGAAAGAGGTGATAGAGAACCTCAATATCATCATTCAGAAAAAGGCCAGGATCTGACTGTGGAACAGACCATCATTTGCTCATATGAAAGTTCTGGTTGAAGCTGGAGAAAATTAAAACAAGTCCACAAGAGCCATAATACAATCTTCATTATATCTCACCTGAATTTAGAGACCATTTGAAGAATGGATTTGACACGTCGAACACTAATGACCTAAGACCAGGTGAGTTGTGGGATGATATTAAGAATATAATACATGAAGAAAGCAAAACATCATTTAAAAGACAGAAAAGGATGAAAAGACTAAAATGGATGTTAGAAGAGACCTTGAAACTTGCTCTTGCATGGACAGTAGCTAAAGCAAATGAAAGAAATGGTGGGAAAAAAGAGCTGAACAGAAGATTTCAAAGGACGACTCTGAAGACAAAGTATTGTAATGAAATGTGCAAAGACCTGGAATTAGAAAACCAAAAGAGAAAATCATGCTCAACATTTCTCAAGCTGAAAGAGGATAAGAAAAAAATGCAAGCCTCAAGTTGCAATATTGAAAGATTCTATAGACAAAATATTGAACAATGCAGGAAACATCAAATGAAGATGGAAGGAATACACAGTCATTACACCAAAAGAATAGGTTGATGTTTAACCATTTCAGGAAATAGCATGTGATCAAGAACAAATGGTATTGAGGGAAGAAGTCCAACCTGCAACGAAGGAATTGGTGAGATACAATTCTGTCCAGGAATTGACAGAATACCTACTGGGATGTTTCAGCAAATGGACTTTGTTGATTAAATCTGATGCAACATTAGTAATTCTCATTTGTTTATGCCAAGAAATTTGAAAGATAGCTACCTGGACAACCATCTGTAAGAGATCAATATTTGTGTCCATTCCAAAGAAGGGTGATCCAGCAGAATGTGGAAATTATCAAACAAAATAATTAATATTGCATGCAAATAAAATTTTCTGAAGGTAATTCAGAAATAGTCACCACATTACATTGACGTGGAGCTGCCAGAAATTCAAGCCAAATTCAGAAGAGGGTGTGGAATGAGGCAGATCATTGCTGATCTTGATGGATCTTGGCTGAAAGGAAAGAACACCAGAAAAATGTTTACCAGTGTTTTATTCACTATACAAAGACATTTCACTGTGTGGATCACAACAAATTATGGATAACAATGCAAAGAATGGAAATTCCAGAACTCTCAATTTTGCTCATGAGGAACGTGAGCAGTTGTTTGAACAGAATGAAGGGGTACACAATGGTTAAAATCAGGAAAGGTGCACATTATGGTTTTACCATTTCATCGTACTTATTCAATTTGTATACCAAGCGAATAATCCAAGAGGCTAGACTATATGAAGAATGCAGCATCAGGATTGGAGAAAGACTCATTAACAACCTGTGATATGCAGATGACACAACCTTTCTTGCTGAAAGTGAAGATGCCTGGAAGCAGTTATTGATGAAGATGAAAGACTATAGCCTTCTGTATGAATTACACCTCAACATAAAGAAAACAAAAATCCTCACAACTAGATCAATAAACACCACCACTGAAATGGAGAGAAGATTGAAGTTGTCATTGATTTCATTTATTTTTTCCACAATCAACACTCATGGAAGCAACAGTCAATAAATCTGATGACTTACTCCTCTCATCAAAGACTTCTTTAAAGTGCTAACAAACAAAGATATCACTTTGAAGACAAAGGTGCCCCTAACCCAAACAATGGGATTTTCAATAGCCTCATATGCATGTGAAAACTGGGCAATGACTAAGGATACTGAAGAAGAATTGATGAATTTGAATTGCAGCGTTGGCAAAGAATACTGAAAATGTTGTATGATTGCCAGAAGAACAAAGAAATCTGTCTTGAAACAAGAAGAGCAGGAATGCTCCTTAGAAGTGTAAATGGCCAGACTTTGTCTCACATACTTTGGTCATGTTGTCCAAAGTGACCAGTACCTGGAGAAGCATACCATGTTTGTTCAAGTAGACCAGTAATAAAAGTGAAGACGCTCAATGAAATAGATATACACAGTTGCTGCAACAATGGGCTCAAGCATAGCAATGATTGTGAGATGGCACAGATCTGAGCAGTGTTTTGCTCCACTGTACATAGAGTTTCTGTGAGTCTTAGATGACTTCCCAATACCTAACAACATATTATGACCCTGGAACCCTGAAGTACCAACAAGGGCATCCAGATTTCTTGAACTACTTTCTCTTACTTTATATTCTGTGATTGTCCTTTCAAAGCTGCACTTTATAATGTGGTATTAGCCACAATTGTGAGGCTACTCTGGAGTGTGCATGCTAAAAAATCTATCTTAGGAGCTGTGAGTGTGCACTGCTCTGTATGAAGCCAACGTTTTATACATAAAATACAACTTTTACTACATACAACTATACAAATAATAATAATAATAATGATGATGATGATGATGATGAGTATATCATAGTGTAGTGAACTAATGTTATTTGTTTTGCTTCTTATGTCTTTGTTAGCAAACCATCCCAATGTTAATTAAAGTTGCTTCAATGGAGCTGATAAAACTCCAGGGCTTAAAGATAGATTTTGCCTGTTCAGTGGGAATACTCTAACACTTTGGAAGGAAGATAGTGGTTTTCCCTGAGAAGTAGAAGCGTAGTCTAATAAGTCTTGATTAACATACATGTCAAATATAAAAAATTCAAACACACAGAAAACTTGCTAGAAGGACTTTATTTGGGATAAAGGAAGGAAGCAGAAGACAAGGTACAAAGAATCATAAAAATTGTCTTATAGATATTCAAAGTAAATTATGAATTTTTTGTCTCTGTTTTTGAAGCTGCGCTGCAACAAAGTGCGTAGCGAATAAGAATGAAGTTGCAGGCTCCAGAGCGACGTTCTCCAGAACGACAGAGTCTTCTACAGTAGCAGGTAGTGTTCATAACTGGGCCTGGAAAAGCAGAGGAAACATCAGGTATTGAACACGGGGTCAATGGTGGGTGGTAAGTAAAGGATCCAGGAGAAGTTACATGCTGGGTTGAGTGGGTATGTCACATTGACTATCTTAGGGCCCAAAGCAATGAGCAATCTCAGTTGGTAAATATTAATAACTCTAAATAGAAAATGTTGGTCCCCCAAGATTGGGGCACCACTCCAATATTGCATGTAATAATGTGACAGTCAGGGGTAAATAACAGATGGCTCTTGTTTGAGGGTCTGGTAAAGAGGAAGAGGTTCAGACACAGTGGGCAAGGAGAGTCAGAGACAGACTAATGGAGTCACATTAAGAAGTCACATCTATTTATAATAGATATAATGCTTATTCTACTAGGATGGTCAGGTTCATATTTTTGTCATTAATTTACATTGAGATCAAAATAAATCTTACTAACTATGTGTTAATCATGCAGGATCATAGTTTCCTCTGTCCAAGTCTATTATTTACTCTCATGCCCTAGAATACATATGTAAAAGTGGTGTGGTGGTAGAGATGTCAGATCTCCTCCTCTAACTTCATCAGAGAGCAACACTGTCACCTACAGCAATGCCTATGAGGGGAAGGTCAGACTCCTCTTGCTAAATAAACTTCTTGCCAATTCTGACACTAACCTTCCCTCACATGACATTCTCTACTCCTCAGCTGGGCTTAATAATGTGTCAAGACCGGCAAAACTGCACAGGTCACAAAACAAAGCAACACAAAAGGATTAATGGTTTTTTAAAAGGAACAGGGGCCAGGCAGATGCCTGCATATGCCTGCATATTCTGCGAGAGTAACCCCTGATGATGCCTTTGCTCTACTTTATTTATATGTTTATACATGATTACATCACTATTCTTGGAATCCATACAATCACCTTATTCTCTACAAAATTAAAGTTGTACTCCTCTTATGTGCTCAAGGACAACAGATGGTCATTGAAACAATCACAAAAGCCTCTTCAGAAACAAGGAATGTAAAACAATAAATGTTTACTAGGGCACAGTGACTCAAAGTATGAAATGTCTCAACAAGATAAAAAAACATGGACTACTGGAATAACATCTACTTTTGATACTTAATGTTTTGCCAAATAAGCATTTAACCGTGAGAGAGTCCTTGCCTTGCCTTCTTTTGTTGCTGCTGGAGAGGCCTTGCCTTCTCTTGTCCTTTGCTAATTTCTCTCTTGGTCTCCAACAATAATGGCCATAGAGTACTCACAGACAATCCTCACATATATGGGGCTTATTAAGCAAGTAGCACATTGCAATTTAGGATCAGAAATTATTCACGATACAGTTCTTTGATCAGGATGGCCTCTTCTCAGGCATGCCTTCAGGCCTGTCTTTCTCTGGCCCTGATTCTGCAACCCCTCATGCTGATCTTTGCCCTACTCTGGCAAATGTTACAAAGCTTTTCAGCCTTGCTGTTAGGTGCCCAGAGCAATCCCACTCCACAATAATTTTAAACCCACAGGCACCCAGCTCTAGTTGTGTGGGTCAGCAAACCTATCTCAATCAAAAGCCCAGGGACACCCCAGTGGGCCAGCAAGCCTCCTGAGTGAAGGCACTTAGTTTTTGTTCTCTGACCAGGAAGCCTGCTATATTATCTCCTGCTGTTCTCCTGGCTCTGTTGCCACTGCTTCTTGCTCTCCTTCATCTCTGATGTTACAGCTCCATCACTCTCTCTGTCTCCTGGCTCTAAGAGTTTCTCAGCACAGAGATCCTGGGTCCAAAGAATGAGCAACACTCCTAATATTCCTTTTTGATGGTAGTGAGAATCCCCCTTTCTGTCTCTGGGATGGCTACTTTTAAGCCTAGCAAGATGGTGAACTGATCATTCCCTTTGTTAGGGTTCCACATCTTATTTGGATAGTCTCATCCTTTTTTTTTTTTTTTTCAGTGAGAATTACAAAACCATGACTAGAAAGGCCATATAAAATCCATCCATCACACTGCAACACATCTCAAATTCAGGGCTGCTAAAATTTCATTTTGCTTCTACCTTGCATTCCCATTTCAAGCCCAGCCTACATGCATAATACGTTCCTCTATTACAACTTGTGTCATCTCTGTAGCTGAAGCTGCTGAGTTTCAACTACACATGTTATGGAACCAAATTCTTTGATGCTGAAATTTCTCTTGAAGAAATTCTCACTTCAGAGCTTTTGTTTTCTAATGATTCTATGCTAGTCTGAGGCACAGTTGGAGCTGGAATCCCCTATGGCATAGTGATCTCACCTGAATCTCCTTGGGCTGAGCGTTTGTCTCCTACAAAGGAGACTGCCACATCCTGGTCCTCTGCCCCAGGTTCATCCTGGGCTGGAATCTCATCATCTGCTTGTCTGAGTGGTTCAGCCTGGGCCTGGAGGGCCAGCAGGAGAATGGCAGCAAGGAGGGTGAGAGTCTTCATGACTGTGGGTCACCTGGAAGTCAGTGTGCTGAATGAAGCACCAGCCTGAGTATGTTGGTGAATGAAGAGAATCGACAGTATTTATATATTTGTTAGGAGAAGGCTCAGAGATGAACAATCAATTAGGGAAGTTGTGTATTTATTCTAGGGATGGTGATTGATTGCTGCATTTTGCCCTCAAACTTGCCTTGATGTTACTCTGTTCCAGCAGTTTTTATTGCCAATAAAAGTCTACATGTGTAATATCTGTAGTTGGTACTTGGTGGATGTTGACAATGATGATAAGGACTTGATGCATTTTCCTAGTCTTCATCTGCTTGAATATTTATCTCTTCATAGTCAAAAAGGAAGAGAAGCCTTACTTTTATTCATTCACTCAGGAGAAAAAATACCTTTTATTTTCTGAATATTGTCCTTGAAAAAGTTCTAGACCCTTGGACAAGACCCAGATCCCACTGTAATAGAATGTTAATTCATTTCAGGCTTCCTGGTTGACTAATCCTGCCAGAGGCTTTCAAGGTCACAGGAAGATTAAGTTTGTGTCAGAACTGGTATGGAGAGGACAGTGACTAGACCAAGCTTCTCATAAAATGAACTTCAGATTCAGGGCTAATAAGATGTTAAGTAATGCAATGCATTACCCACCAGCCACTCCTCGGAAGGAAGATGAGGCAATCTACTTCTGTAGTGATACTGCCTAGGAAACCCAAGGAGGGGTCGCTATGAGTTGGGTCTGACTCGATGGCACATAACAACAACAACAACAGTCAGACTAAAGCCAGAAGTTGGACACACAACATGCTTACTATTTACATCTCTCCACTTTGACAACTGTGAAATGGACTCATTCTGAGTCTTTGAATTTTTCAATAAAAAAGTCATTCATGAACATGGAATAAAATTCAAAAGATAAAAATAGTAATGAGTAAAAAAATAACAATCTCATCTATGCCCAGCCCACATTATTTACACATTATTTTCCACTTTGCTTTATTCAACTAATGATAAAACTTGGATGCCATTGTATATCAATCAATTATAAAGAGCTCTCTTATTTGTTTAAAAGAGATTTATAATATTCCAGTGTTTAGATATCTCATAATTGAAAAAATTTATAGACTTTTATTAGTTATATTTTATTAATAAGATATCATTAAATTAATAAAATTTAGTTATTTTTAAATATTTGTAGTTACAAGCAAAACTAAAATGAATATCATTTCACATGATTCATTTTACCCATAGGTGGTTATATATTTGATATAAATTTCTAGAAGAGGAACATGAGCTGGATCAAAGTACATGTCTTGTACATTTTATAAATATTATCAAATTGCCCTGCAGAGAGGCTGTATAATAGCAGTTGCAAAAATATATAAGGCTGTCTGGTCACCCCTCAACCCTTGCTGATGGAATGTGTTTTCGAAGGTGCTGTCATTAACCCATTTCCATCATGCCTTCTTCCTGCCTGTTCAGGGCAGCAATGTGCTCCATTAAAAGTACTAATATCTCAGACTCTCTTATATACAGCTTGATGAATAAAGAGAGCTCACAGACCACTAAAATGTAATACCTAGTGAGAGTATCCTTTTTTAATAACCACAGAAATTTTGTTATGTTGTTTTATATTTTCCTCCTTATTTCTACTGGGATCATGGAAGTAGTTGGATTTTCAGTCACTCTCTTTTGTCCATGAAGAAAACAGTTGCTAAATATGGTGAAGCAGGTTACCTGATTACTTGAGGCCAGTGTTGAACCATTTCACCTACCCTCCGAACTGCCCACCTCTGGATTTTTTTAACCTGAGAAAAACAAACTCATTATCATTTTAATCCTTTGTTTGCTGGATTTTCTGGTGTTAGTAGCTGCAAGAATCTGGTATATGTGTTACAAAGCTCATTGATCTTTTCCAATCTGATTGGTAAAAATCGGTATTCCAGTGTAGTTATTATAACGTTGTTGTTGTTATGTTCTGTCAAGTCGGACCCAATTCATAGCGACCTCTCCTTGGATTTCCAAGGCAGTATCACTATGGAAGTAGATTGCCCAACCTTCCTTGTGAGGAGTGCCTGGTGAGTTTGAACTGCCCAGCCTTTTGGTTAGCAGTCAAGTGCCTTAAGCATTATGCTACCAGAGCTCCTTATTATGACATCGTCATACGAATTAGGTTCAACAGTTTTAATGTCTATAATGCTTTTATATTTATTTTCTCAGAAATCTCATTTTGTAACTTATTTATTTTCTCAGAAGGTTCCTTTCATATCTACCCCCTCTTCTTTTTTGAAAGGGCTTTCTTTCTTTCCTTTTAATTGATTTGTAGAATCTCTTGAGTTCAAGAAATAAGCTTTTTATCATATGTGTTGCAAATCTTTTCAGAGTTTATCCTTTGTCTTTGGCTTCATTACTTTTGACATGCAGAAACTTTGGGTTTTTATGTAGCTTTTAAATGTTTATCCAAACCTCTGAATTTAGTGTCTTTCCTACTTTAGTACCATTAAAAAAATTGATGCTTTTACCCTTATGAGTAACTTCCTATCTTTGGAACAAAATTCTGGTTTAATGAAGCAACAGATGCATGCTTTAGACATTAACTACTTAGTAGATGTCAAATATTGAAGCAGATGTGGAATAGGGAAAGTTATCAGGATTGACATATGAACAGTACATACAGATGCACATCCAATAGATAAGAAACATGGTCATTGTTGGAGCTGCTAGATCAGAGGAACATGAAAGGGATTTGAGGGCAACAAGGGAGCTCTGTGTCTTATATTCTCCCCTCTCGTTTATTCTTCTTGGCCACAATCTTGCACCAAACATAAACACACATACAACTATTGCACTGTAAACACAGAGGTCCATTTCCAATTATTGGACCAGTATATGTGATCTTATAGCCAACTAACTTGTACACTGTAAGTGATATTTTCTTACTCAACTCAGAGATATTTAGGACCCTGACTGACCCGACGATTTATGAACCCAAAGAGGGATCTTAGATTGAGGACATTTCTTCTTACAAGAACATGCATCCTAGAGACTTTGATAGAACAATCCTCTCAGCTATAATATAGTGTGATAAATCTGTCTGTAGTTGTTGTTGTTAGGTGCTTTCAAGTCAGCTCCAACTCATAACAACCCTATGAACAACAGAACAAAATATTGTTTGCCTGGTCCTGCACCAGCCTCACAATCTCCGCTATACCTAAGCCCATCATTGTAGCCATAGTGTCAATCCATCTTGCTGAGGGCCTTCCCATTTTTCATTGACCCTCCACTTTATCTAGCATGATATCCTTCTCCAGAGAATGGTTCCTTGTGACAACATGACCAAAGTAGGTGAGGCGAAGTATGGCCATTCTTGCTTCCAAGGAGCATTCCGGCTGCACTTCTTCCAGGATAGATTTGTTGGTTCTTCTGGCAGGCCATGATACTTTCATTATTGATTGCCAACACCACCATTCAAAAGCATCAACTATTCTTCTTCGGTCTTCCTTATACATTGTCCAGCTTTCACACGCCTATGAGACAATTGAAAACATCATAGCTTGGGCCAGATGCACCTTAGTCTTCAAAAAGACATTTTTGCTCTTCAGCGCTTTAAACAGTTTTTTTTTTTTTTTTCTTTTCCCAGCAGATTTTCCCAGTGGAATACATCATCTAATTTCTTGACTGCTCCTTCCATTGGTAACATGGAACCAATGTTAACCAAGTAACATGACCTCATTGACAGCTTCAATCTTTTCTCCATTTATCGTGATGCTGCTTATTGGTCCAGTTGTGAGGACTTTTGTTTTCTTTATGTTAGTACGTAATTCACACTGCAGGCTATAAGTGCTTAATCAGTAAGGGCTTCAAGTCATCCTCACTTTCATCAAGCAAAGTTGTGTCATCTGCATATTGCAGGTTGTTAATGCGTCTTCCTCCAATCCTGATGCCACATTCTTCTTCATATAGTCCAGCTTCTCAGATTATTTGCTCAACATACAGATTGAATAAGTACAGTGAAAGGATACAACCCTAACACATTCTCTTCCTGATTTTAAAGTATGCAGTATCTCCTTGTTCTGTTTTAATGACAGCCTGCTGGTTTATGGACAGGTTCCTCATGAGCACAATTAAGTGTTCTGGAATTCCCATTCTTCTTAACATTATCCATAATTTGTTATGATCCACACAATCAAATGCTTTTACATGGTCAATAAAACACAAGTAAACATCTTTCTGGTTTTCTTTGCTTTCAGCCAAGATCCATCTGACATCAGCAATGATAACCATCATTCTGTGTCTTCTTCTGAATCCACCTTGCTCCTCTGGAAGTTCTCTGTCAATACACCTCTGCAACCATGTTTGAATTATGTTCAGTAAGATTTTACTTGCATGTGATATTAATGATATTGTTTGATAATTTCCACATTCTGTGAGATCACCTTTCTTTGGAATTGGTACAAACATGGATTTCTTCCAGTCAGTTGGCTAGGTAGCTGTTTTCCAAATTTTTTGGAATAGGTGAGTGAGTGCCTTCAGCATGGCATCTGTTTGTTGAAACATTTCAATGGGTATTCCGTCAATTCCTGGAGCCTCAGTTTTCACCAGTTCCTTCAGTGCAGCTTTGATTTCTTCCTTCAGTACCATTGCTTCTTGATCATATACTACTTCCTGAAATGGATGAAGATCGACCAATTCTTTTTGGTACAGTGACTCTGTGTATTCCTTCCTTCTTCTTTTGATGTTTGCTGCATCATTCAATATTTTGCCCATAGAATCTTTCAATATTGCAACTGAAGACTTGAACTTTCTCCTCATTTCTTTCAGCTTGAGAAATGCCTAGCGTATTCTTCCTTTTTGGTTTTCCAACTCCAGGTCTTTATACATTTCATTATAATAATTGGCTTTGTCTTCTAGATCTCCTCTTTGAAATCTTCTGGTCAGCTCTTTTATCTTGTCATTTCTTCCATTTGCTTTAACTGCTCTCTGTTCAAGGGCAATTTTCAGAGTAT